GGATAGAAATGTATACATTTACTGCTAAAAGTTTTGAGTTTGCATACAACACGGTACAAAGAAGAGTGAAAATTCGAATCTTGTATTCTAATTCTCTAAAGGAGAATAATATCGTTAGGTCAAACCCGATTTATAATACCTTATACTTAAATAATCTTCAAACCTAAATCATTGAACTCTAAGAAGTTACTCTAAATTCAAGTAATTTGACAACATTAAGGTAAATGAACAAAGAATCAAAAATACTCCTTCACATTTGCATTTCAACTTGTTAATTAAGGTAAATGAACAAAATGCCATTAAGAGGGGGAAGAATGCTTTGCCTAGAATCAGGATGGAGTCAATTTTTAATTCATTATTTTATATATATATATATATATATATATATATATAATTCTAAAATCCTTATTGTCTGGAATTAGAAACTTCCATAGAAAGATAAAAGAACTAAAGTTGTTACATAGAAAACGATTGAGAAATATATATATTCTTTGGTTTTGAGGAGAGGATAAGATACATTAAACAGCCCTAAAAATATTTAAGGAGCAGTGCAATTAAAATGAAGGAATAAAATGGGACTAAATTAAATTTCTGATGGAGTGGGTCTTAACAATTGTCAGGTGAATATTGAATCGTTAGAAACTTTAATATGTGAAGAGACTTCTTTAAATGCAATTTCATGATAGATGGGTTGTCTTTGGTGGATGATTAATTACAAAATTTATATCTGGGTTCCTTCGATTCCCGTTGGTGGGGAGGCAGACAATAGTATTTTTATACCCAAGCAAAACAACACTTGAGCTTTTAATGAAGAAAACGATTCTTGGCAATTTTCTTTCACATTAAATGTTTTTAAGTTCACTAAAACGAATAGGCAATTCCCCCTTTTTTTTTTTCCCTTTTCTTAAATGCATTTTAATGCCTTCTCTGAAAATAAAGACAACAGGCTTTTCTTTTTTTGGTTAAAGAAATTGGAAATGGGAACAAATATACGATGGAAACATTTCAAGATTCATTGTTTCGTATTTCAATGTAGGTTATGCCTTTTCCTTTGGTACATGACAGTAGGCCCCTTTTTCTTTTGGTCTATCATGTTAGCTCCTTTTCATTTCGATAGAAACAAATATTTGCGGCGAAAATTTTGACTCAATGATAGATTTCTTATACGACATTTCAATAATTAAAACTTCAAAATTGTGACTTATATATATTTATTAAAATTTTAAAATTGGAAGAATAGGGTTATATGATTAGATAAAGGGATTTTTTTTTTCTTTTGGTATTGATCAATTCACATAAACCCTAAAAGAAACAATCCCCAACTCTTTACACAAAGACATTGAGTCTAGAATTCTTTGCATATAGGGATAAGAAATACTGGTATCAGTAGATTAGCTGGTCGAAACTTCATTGAGATATGGGTTTGAATCAAAGCCCAAAATCTCAGCCCAACCAGATTTGAGTGTTAGCAAACATGGCCCAAAAGTAGTTGTCCTTGCCATATATGTGTATATAGGCTAGAGCATTGAACTGATATTGGGCCCATTTTACCTGTTGCGAGTGTCCAACTGACACAACCCAACATGATGCTTTTTGTATATATTTTAAATATCTGATATACATTTTTTATTTAATTTAAGTAAATTAATATTCATGAAAATATCAAGGAGCTTTTATATATATATATATATATATATATATATGTATATCTATATGCTAGAAAGTCAAATGCTATATACTTGGTAGGAGAGAAAAATGACAATATTAAAAGAACTAAGCACTTTCAACCAAATTCTATATTAAAATTAATTCTCATAGTATCTTAAAAAATTTTTAAACTATTCAAAAAAATTCAAATAAATTTTTATTCTTTCATTGTTTTCAATCAAATTTTTATAATTTTATTTTGAACTAAATAAGCACTTAGAACTAATCATTAATTAATTGTTGTTAATTAAATTATCATTTATTATTATATGCGATATGATGTTGATATGGCATACTAACATATTACAATAGATGATGACTACAACAAATTTGACTTAAGATAGCATATTTTTAAAATGTGCTACTAAAAATATTTTTAATAATAATTTTTTTATACTTTTTAGAACATTTTTATAGATATAACTTCACTATAGAAATTTTTAGATACATTAAGAATAAAATGTAACCATAGAACTTGCATAAATTAGCAAAAGCAGCACTTTTTCATTTTACACTAAATGTGAAGAAAGTGAAGTTAAAAGTTTAATGAACTACATTTTTGAAGATTTCGCTATACAAACAAAAATCACTTAAAGAAGTGTTATTAAAACTCAATTTTGTTGTAGTATGACCTGACATGTTAACATAATCATGTGAATTTTTTATTTTTATAAAATAAAAAATGATATTTTGATTAATAACAATTAATCAACCATTAATTATAAAAGTTTATTTGATTCAAAATAAAATTATAAAAATTTGATTAAACTTAATAATAAATAAATAAATATTTATTTTTTTAAATAATTCAAAAAAAATTTCAAATATTATGTCAAATTCATTTTATTATTTATTATTTATTTTATAATAGTTAAATAAAATGGCTTTCATTATTTTTTTAATTTTATGTTTTCCATTTCGTAAATGGTAAATAAAAACAAAGGAAAAAAATATCAGAAGAACTAGTATGGTCCAGGAAAAAGCAGATTTGTTTGATTATCTCATCATCATCATCATCATCATTATTGTAAATTATGATTTAAAAAAAAACCCTAGTCATAGTTGAGGACTAGTAGCTAGCTGATCAATCTCGAGTATGAATGAAGTGAAGTTACTGATTTTCAGTTGTACTTGCAGGATAATGCTCAGATCAGATCTTGGGACCATTTATGATGCTCAGATCAGACCTTGGGACCATTTTTTTCTTGCAGTTTCATGAATGTTCTCCATTAAGAGCTTGTCTCCTTCGTTGAAAGAATTGATAAAATAAATAAAGAACCGATGCCCCCTCTGAGCACCCGATGATATATCGATGCATTTCAACACTTCCAAGGTGGATAATGAGGAGAATATCCGTTGGATTTTGAAGCCATTATTGTCCACCCAGGTTAATTAAAGAAGATGTACGTACTTATGGAAGGTACTGTGTAAGTTGTATGGTTGATAGTTCTGGAAATATTGTCGTGCTTCCGAAGCAATTGCAGAAGGTATAGATATCATTAAAAACAATAGAAACAGAAGGTTAAATTAAGAGAATGTAGAATTGGTTGGAAAATTAATATCCAGGGTTGAATTAAGATGTATTACAAGTATTCTATTCTAGCAAGACTTGGCATAAGTTAATCTTCATCCAACATTTACCAATATCCCTTATCCTCTTCTCTATTCCAACTTCTGAAGAGCCTCATGAGTTCTCATATATATTAATAATAGTGTTAGGATTTGTTTGATTTCAACATATATTCAATTATTCATATGAAAAATGTTAATTAACCTTATATTGATGAGTGTATTATCCACCATGGAAATACTAATGAACCTTATATTAGGTTTATTTTTTATTAATGAAATCTTATATTATAATACAAGTACCCTTTTTAGTGTGTTTACTCTCCTCTTAATTAAAAAGACAAAAGCAAATGCTTGTGTTGATGAGTATAATCCCCCCATGGAAGTGTCCTTATACTCCTTTAAATCAAGATTAGGTTCTTACGGGATTAGCTATGGATTATGCTTATTTTCTCTTAGCATGATTTTTTCATTTGCGGTTTGTACGAATCTGTTTTGATTGTGCGGGTTATGAGTGTGTTTCCTTTACCTCTCGGTACAAAAAGAGAATCTTACTTGTGCAAGCCCTGCAGGGTTGTACGATTGACAGCATATATATGAAAAGGAAAACTTGAAAATTTTCAGTCCAGATAATTAATTGCAGTTTCTTGTTGGTTTGCTTAACTGATCAACGGAGGAACTTGGAGATATGAGCCACTGGGTAGTCCTTGCTAAACGTGCATCTCCATAAGAGGACGAGATACTCTTTCTATGCTCAACATTTCTGTGGCAAGTCTAAACACATAGGGTGTAGAGGAAACTTTGTCAACTAAATGCTTTTAGATTTTAAGCTTCTTTTATAATTCGAATACTGATAATTGTCACAGTTAACATTGGGAATGGCAGACTTCATTAGATCAAAGGGAATAACAAGTAAAACGAAACAAAACACAGATTATTTATCGTTGTACACCCAGATATAAGCCGGAAAGAGGAACTTTAATGTCACTAGGTTTTAGACCAGGGATTATCTATGAGGAGAAGTAATAAAAATGGATGATGGATCTTAATTAGATGCTTCCATTGCTGTACTTGCAACTTAAGTAGGTTCCCATTTAGGCTTTTGTAGGTTACTTTACTAAATTTGCAGAGAAATTACCTTTTTCAGACTTAATAAGTTCTCCGAAATATGTAGTAAACTATCTAATAATTAGATTGTTTGATTATTCACAAATTATTTATTATGTCATATCATTTGTGAACAATAATCAAATAATGAAAGTTTCGAAGAAAATAGCATTAATTATTTGTAATTTTTCTTACAAATGGATTTGCTCTCTTGGATGTAACTGTAAATTGGACGGGTGTGGGGCAATCCATGATTTATTGCCATTTATCTTAGACTAAAATGTTTGCAGGACCCACAAAATAAGTTGGAAAAGCTGGGTGGAACATTCTGCAGTAACGGAGTAGCAGGGATTATGCAGATTATCATGGAATAGAGTTGCCTAATGATCTAATGAAAGAGAAGATAAAAAGCCAGGATACCCACTAACCCTCAACGTGGGGCTTTCTTCAATTCTTTATCGCTGATGTTAAAAGCCAACTTGAAAGTATTATTATGCCTAATGAACCTAACATTGAATTTGTTCATATTAAGTCTGTTTCTTTATGGGATTTCATTTCAATTGACTCATTAATTGTTTTTGGTTGAAAGGTAAGTCCGAACAAAGAAATGGCTGCCAATGTTTGAGTGCCAATGTGAACCACAAAGGTCAACCCCTCTTTCCCCTTTCATCTTTCATCTTTTTGTTTTTCCTTTGGCACGTCCTCTCTCTCTCTCTTTCTCTTTCTCAGGCCTTGGTTTTCTGTTGCAACTGCTGCTTTTAACTTCCTCAACTTCCCTTGGCCCACTCGGCCACACCAAGATTCTACATTATGGGTTCCCTTTTCTGTATTATTTTATAATCTTTTCCTTCTTTTTTTTCCCTTTTATAAATCCCTCATTATTAAGACCTTCTCGACTTCTTTCTTCCAAAAGGAAATCTAGTCTCTCTTTTCTCTTTGGGTGATAGAATTTTGGTTTCCTTTCTTGTTAGATTGATGGAGGATTACTCTATAAATTCATCTTTACACAAATCTGTTGCTTCCAAAGGAACAACAGGTGAGGAAGAGAGTGGCTGGACTGCTTACTTTGAAGATTTCTCAAACAATGATCAGCAACATAGTTACTGTTCTAGTTTTAGTCGTAGCTCTTCCTTGATCTCCGATGCTGCAACAACCGGCGCTGCATGGAAAACATCCCACAATAACCATCATGTTTTTGCCTGCTCTTTGTCCTGTGCCGACAGCTCCCCGAAGATTCTTCCCAAGAAATTACGTTTTAAGAAAACACGAACCAAAGAAATTTGTCATGAGGATGATTCCTTGGAGGATACTGCTAGTTCTCCTGTCAATAGTCCCAAGGTAAAATACCAAGACTTATTTCTTTCTTTGAATCTTCTTCTCAATTTGATTGGCTTTCTTTCTTTTGTTTATTTTTTGCAATTCTTAATAGGTTAGTAATTTGATGAAATCGAATGATATGAATCTCAGAAAGAGAGAAGATCAAATCCATAGTTCTCTGGTAAACTCGATCATTCTTAGATGATGCTGATAATAGATACTTATTATATTGAACTGGTTCTTTTGTTTGAAGGTTGACCTAAAAGAGTTGAATTAACATGGCTGCTTGGTGATTTTATTATAGGGGAAGGAAACTACTTCAGAGAATTATTCAGAGATACAGAATGAAGAAGAAAGCAAAACGAATTTTGATCATGGGAAGAACGATTTTACAGAGTTAAAGAAAAGAGGGCTGTGTTTAGTTCCTTTGTCCACGTTAGTTAACTATCTTGGTTGATACTCAACATTATATTATTAATCTCTCTCTCTTCTCTTCTTCCACCAACTCCCTCTCTCTCATGTTCTTCCAAGTAGCTAGCAAGTACCTGTCAGATCATTGTATAAAGAAAAAGTTTCTGTCAATATGTATATGTTTGATTATAGTGTGAGCAGCATCCTATCTTTCTCTTCATCATCACTATATTTTACCATGAAGTCTTGATCCATATTTGTATATTCACATGAGAAAGTAAGAAAAAAAATTCCTCAGTCAAGCATGTGAATCTCATTTTCGTTTATTAGCAACAGGTATTTCCTTTAATGGGTAGGTAATAACAAGTGTGAATCTTCATAAAGAAGGAGTGACCTAAATAACAAGTGGGATAGTCGTATGTCCAAATTCTGGGTCCAACCTAAAACCTGGATGTATAAATTGTCTTAAAGCATGTCTGCAGAAATTGCAGGAAATTAGTTTGCTGCATGTGATCTATGAAATGGAAGCTTACTTGCAAGTCATTCTACTCAATCTGTATTTTCTCCAAAAATCATGCACAATATTCCAATAATTGTCTACAAAAGCAATAAAAAGAATCCACCCTGACATTAACCCTAAGTCAAAAAGGGGATTCAAACTATAATTGAAGACCACCATGGATACTCATAAAATATACTAGCATATGGAAGTCCATATATGCATGTTCATCAAGTCATTCTAAATTTTTTGGTCAAAAAAAATAGTCATTCTGAATTTTAATTCTTAACAAAAAACAGACTTGACCTTTAATGAGGATAATGTAATTTCAATTCTCAATAGGGCACAAAGACTTGACCCTTAATAGTTGACAAACGATATTTATTACATCATGTTTGAGTAGATAAAAAACAATAATTGTCATTTACATTTGATTATTTACGAGTTATATTATAATTATATATTTAGTCGGACACAATTCGGATAATAAATGCAAATTAAATTAACGATAAGTTCTCTTAATAATTAATTCAAATTAAAACTAACATATATATAAGGGGGAAAAGTTAAAATTAGGGATGACTTTGTGGAGAGATCCTTTAAGCACATAATAAAAGGAAGCCCCCCCATGGTAAAAGCTTTTGGGTTCAATTTTCAAAAGCAAAAGGAAAAGACTTTGAAAATGGAAAGGTAATTATAATTAATTGAACATATGACCGATTACTTGTTCATCACACCGAAAAGAACTGGTACTGGTCCTGCTTGTGACGCAACGATAGTTCTTAAGTACTTGCTGTGTCATCTACTCATGGTGGTGGAGAGGCAGCTCAGTCCAAATTAATTAACAAAAATTCCTGGTTAAATAGATTCATATCAAAAATAAATAATTAATGGACACTTGGAAGCACAGAAATGTAGGGTGAAATTGATGTTCAAACCTTTCAATATAAGGTAGTAAATGAAGAGAAAAAAATAAGTTTAATTTGGACATTATACATCAAGTGCTGCAACAAAAGAAGGGAGTGAAAGAGTATATTGTGATAATTTTTTTAAAGTACCTAATTAAATTATATATGTGGAGGCTGTTTTCAACATATTAAAGAAACCAGCTGACCATCATAAAAATTGCATATAGCTTAGTCTGTGGACTATATTCTAATGTATATGTTTCAATAATTTAACTATGATTTGGTACATTATGCTGGTGAGAATGAGATTCACAACGAAAACCCAAAGGATGTAAGTTCCTTGTACCCTCAAAGCAAAATAAATAAATAAATAAAATAACAAAGACAAAGGTTTAAATATATTATTTAATATCCAACCTCTTGCAGGCCATTCATCTAAATTATTCAGAAAGGGCTGCAATGGAAGACCCCTCCATGTGCACAAGCATTAAAGGCAGGTGAAGCACAGAAGAGAACCCAGAGTTGTTAAGGACATTCAGCTAAAACACCCCCATTTATTCTTCTGGTTGACTATTTAATCTCTCACATTCTTCTAGATGAATTATCTAATAAAGTCTCCTTTCCGATAATTTTAATTTTATTTCTCATACAAATCAAATCAATGAATTATATATAGTTCAAAGATTATTGAGATTTTCCCCATCATGCCCTGAACTGTAATTCATTGAATTTATCTTGCTGCAATTAATTAGTTTGAACTACTTTAATTTTTTGTTTTCTTTTTATTCTAAAAAGCGTTGTTGATTTATATAGAAAATGCAAGAATTTCAAAAGTTGGTGTTACATAAAGAAAGACCTATTTACTTTTAAAGCTTTATTTGTCGCTGTATTGTAAGGCATAATAAAGGAATATGTCAACTTGGATAATGCCTTTATAGGTCACGTTCTTTGATTAAAAATTTGAAGAACTTGAGCAAAATGAAAAAAGAAAAAAATAAATAAATACGTAACAGAGTAGTGATTTGTCAAAAAAGAAATCTCACGATAAGATATCTTTCTCTTTCCTAACCCTAGGTGGCTTAAGCTTACAATTGAAGGGTGTTCGGTTTATATTCAAAATCTTTTGCTAAATTGTCCAAAGGAAAGAGAGAATAAACTCTCAAATCAAAGATTGGCTTAGTGATTTATCATATATCCCTCAAGAGTAGAGACGAATTAAAAGTGATGACACGTGGCAAGCGTCACCTTTTATGATTAATTTTACTTTAAATCAAATTATTAACTCAATTCATAATTTTATATGATTACTCTTTAATCACAGGTCATGCAAAATTCAGACTTCATCAATGTTGGAGAAGACTTTGGCCAACTTCCCTTAAAATTAGCTTACATGTACAAAGTGTGAAGACTAAAGAACACGCATGAATTGGGATACGGAAGAAAAGCACAGATAAATATTTTCCTGAAGAAAGAGACATCTTTCCTCCCATAAATTTCGTTTACATATTCTTTTTGGAAAGAATGTTCATGCACATACAATTCATATTCCCACAAAAGTAAATAAAAATATTGTTTTGAACTTTAAAAAGATAAAGATTGAGCTGTAATCTGCTGAAGCATTAAGGATGATATGAACTTCTTTTCTGCACATGGCCAGAAACGGTACGATTGGATTAACATCTTCATAATATTTAATCTAAACAAAACTCAATGAATAATGAATTCAAGTATCAATGTTCCCAGTGCAGGTGCAGTTTTAACTCTATGGATATATTCCGTGCATGAAAAAATTGAAGTCGGCATCATGAATTATACGATAGCTACCGAAGTGCCACACCCAATCTGATAAAAAGAAAGTTGTTGCTATAGCATGATTTGGATTATTATCTTAATAATACAAACAGTTAGTGTCCAATCAAAGAGAAAATTCTTCTGAACCATTGGCTTTAAATGGATTAGGTTATCAATCAAATTGTTAACAACCGCTAATGATGTGATTTGGATTGTGAAGTGGTAGATCAAAAGTCTAACTCAACACTTACGTGGTAATAGCACCTGTAAATAGACTGAAAGACCTCCTTTTCTACATGTGCACTGTTCTTGGCAGGAAAAGGAAACAAAGACACATAAAAAATATAAGATTAATATAATCAATTTAAAAACTACACTAACAAGGTTAGAATGTTCTCAATACATCTATTGAATTATTATATTAATTTTTTAAAAATAGTTAGATATAATTTAATGAGACGGGTGACGATCATCTAATCTTATTTATAACATTTAAAAACTGTATTTGCCATATATAAGAACAATAATCCAAAAATAATAATTGAAACCCAGTTTGATACAAAAGAAGCTAACCAAGCAATTTGCATATTTCTAATTCATAACTCATTAGTTTTCCATAAAACTGATTTATTCAATTTATCATATTATTAATTTGTTTTCTTCGTACCAAAAGCTTTATGCAAATAATAGTTTTCCCTATTTCTCCCTTTGTTAGTTTCTCTCTTTGTTTTCTTTCCCTCCAAACATACTGTTACTGTAGGCCCCTATGGAATTTCTTTGTTCTTGAGGATGAATCCATCCTTAACCTGTAATTCAGGATAAATCATCTGAAGCAAAACATGTCCACATGTTGGTACTATCGGGTCATTATGATTTATTGTCGTATCGTTATATCCTTTTATCTGATTATTATCTCCATTGCCAAAAAGAGTGGCTTATCTAAAACCAAACTGTTTGATTAAAGACTACTACCATATTGCATTGCTTTTACTCCACAATTATTAATTAGCACGTGTGAACCCTTTTTCATATTCAATCCATTAAACAAAAATTTTGAATGGGGTCATGTCGCACTCGAAAATAATTCATTAATTCCTCAAAAAAATAAGTTGAATAAATTGGGGAGTACTAATTAAGCATTGATCTAATAGCTGTGAGGGATTAGAATAAATTAATAATTAGCTAAACCCTCTTTTCGAGAATAATTCTGTTGGAGTGGCACCTGCTTTTCAAGTCGACATGAGTTAGAAGTATTCTGTTGGGGTTTATATACAGCCAATTGTTAGTTTTGTTAGTTTTGGCATTTACAACATATAGCTAAAATAGGGAATCAATGAACAAATTAAGTTTACTAGTCAGCCTATGGACATTAGAGATTTATTGATGAAAGATGTAACAAGACTTTATTTTTTTCATATGATTAGAATATAAAATATTTTTCTTCTAAAAGAAAAAAAAAATTCAAGATTTCTTCAAGGAAGTTCAAGAAAATGAGTGTGTAAAGGCATTATTTGCTATTTATTGAGTAACAACAAATTCTTCCTTCAAACCAGTGTAGTGTTCGATTTTGGATTAAGAGATGGAAGCAAGATCTCATTTTGGTCAAAGGAGTGGATTGATGAGTTCGTACTTACTTGATTCGAAACAAGTTTTTGAAAATTGATTTTCAATTTATTTCTTTAGATTACTATAACAGTTTTAAAATTAATTGAATCTTAATTTTTAAGTAGAGACTATAGATAAATAATTAACCGATCCCATTCAATCCATTTGATACAAATAGTAATAAAGACCTATTTAGTATTAGAATTGAAAGCATGTAATATCTATACCTTACATGTTTAATGAAGATGTTTAATCACAATTATTCTTGTTTTGACATTATAATTGTGATCAAATTTGACTATTATAATAAATTAGATACTAGAGTACGTAACATATACATGGCAAATTCTACTTAAATTCAACTTGAATTTATTCAAAAAGTCAACAATTCA